ATCTCCATGTATAATACATAAGGGGGGATATGATCTCCATGTATAATACATAAGGGGGGATATGATCTCCATGTATAATACATAAGGGGGGATATGATCACCATGTATAAATACATAAGGGGGGCATATGATCTCCATGTATAATACATAAGGGGGGCATATGATCTCCATGTATAATACATAAGGGGGATATGATCTCCATGTATAATACATAAGGGGGGATATGATCTCCATGTATAATACATAAGGGGGGGATATGATCTCCATGTATAATACATAAGGGAGGATATGATCTCCATGTATAATACATAAGGGGGGATATGATCTCCATGTATAATACATAAGGGGGGATATGATCACCATGTATAATACATAAGGGGGGATATGATCTCCATGTATAATACATAAGGGGGGATATGATCTCCATGTATAATACATAAGGGGGGATATGATCTCCATGTATAATACATAAGGGGGGATATGATCTCCATGTATAATACATAAGGGGGGATATGATCTCCATGTATAATACATAAGGGGGGATATGATCCATGTATAATACATAAGGGGGATATGATCACCATGTATAATACATAAGGGGGATATGATCACCATGTTTAATACATAAGGGGGGGATATGATCACCACATGTATAATACATAAGGGGGGGATATGATCACCATGTATAATACATAAGGGGGGATATGATCACCATGTATAATACATAAGGGGGGATATGATCACCATGTATAATACATAAGGGGGGATATGATCACCATGTATAATACATAAGGGGGGGATATGATCACCATGTATAATACATAAGGGGGGGATATGATCACCATGTATAATACATAAGGGGGGATATGATCACCATGTATAATACATAAGGGGGGATATGATACATAAGGGGGGATATGATCACCATGTATAATACATAAGGGGGGATATGATCACCATGTATAATACATAAGGGGGGATATGATCACCATGTATAATACATAAGGGGGGATATGATCACCATGTATAATACATAAGGGGGGATATGATCACCAATGTTAATACATAAGGGGGATATGATCTCCATGTATAATACATAAGGGGGGGATATGATCTCCATGTATAATACATAAGGGGGGATATGATCTCCATGTATAATACATAAGGGGGGATATGATCTCCATGTATAATACATAAGGGGGGATATGATCTCCATGTATAATACATAAGGGGGGATATGATCTCCATGTATAATACATAAGGGGGATATGATCTCCATGTATAATACATAAGGGGGGGATATGATCACCATGTATAATACATAAGGGGGGGATATGATCACCATGTATAATACATAAGGGGGGATACGATCACCATGTATAATACATAAGGGGGGATACGATCTCCATGTATAATACATAAGGGGGGATACGATCTCCATGTATAATACATAAGGGGGGATACGATCTCCATGTATAATACATAAGGGGGGATACGATCTCCATGTATAATACATAAGGGGGGATACGATCACCATGTATAATACATCAGTGGTTCATATAGTGAACTCGGTGTAGAGTTATTCCTCCTGAGGTCATCACAGAGGACAAGGGGGCGCTCTTTACGTCTGGAAGAAAAGAAATGTAATTTCCAAACACGGAAAGGTTTCTTCACAGTGAGAGCTGTGAAAATGTGGAATAGACTCCCTCAAGGGTTGGTTTTTGCCAGCTCAGTGGATTGCTGTAGGAAAGTCCTGGATTCTTTCTTGGATACACAGAATATAACTGGATATAACATTTATAGGTAACGTTGATCCAGGGAATATCTGATTGCCTCTCGGGGGATCAGGAAGGAATTTTTTCCTTTGCAGCAGCAAATTGGATCGTGCTTTGCTGGGTTTTTTTGGCTTCCTCTGGATCAACTGTAGTGTAGAATTATAACTTTTTCTGTTTTTTTTTTTTATGGTTGAGCTGGATGGACTTTTGCTTTTTTTTCCTGCCAGACTAACTATGTATAAGGAGTGGCAACACTGCTCTGAATTCAGGAGCAGTGCAGCATTGATGTCACACAGCTTACTACATCAAGTGGAATTCTAGGCTGTTACTAATTAAACTTAAACCTGCCCCAGCCCCCCCCCTCTTTCTGGAACCTATTCTATCTATCCTGTGAAAGGAAGATGCCTATACTCACCTATTTTCAGGGCACGTTGGTCCCGTCATGTGATCTTCCCAGCGGCTGGCTTCAGGGGAGAGGAGATGCAACAACAGATGGAATGCCTGGATGGTGATGTCACTGTGTGACATCCATTGTTGGCTGTCCGTACTCTCCCCTGAAGCTCCTGCTTGGAGCCGATCACGTGACTGGACTTGAGCGCCATGAGAATAGGTAAGTATATACATCTTCCTTCTACAGAGTAGTTAGTGTACAATGTAGAAGAGGGGTGGGAGCAGGTTTAGTGGGAGTGGGGTGGGATCAGCTTAATAATAGCATGGACCTCCACTTTAAATGGGTTTCATTGGCAAGATTAATAGGTATTCGTACGACTGGCAGGGGAACTTATAGCGAACTGTAAGTGCAGATGTAATTCATTCTGCAGTGTGTTTGTGTGTGTGTGTGTGTGTGTATATATATATATATCGGGCGGACTGATCATTTGGAAACTTGGGCACTGCCCGAGGGCCCGGGGTCAGTAGGGGGGCCCCATGAGATGCCCCTGGTACCTTTTTCATAGGCTTTTTTGAGTTTGGGCAAGGACACAGGGGCCCCATGATCCCCTATTGCCGGGGGGCCCCATGAGTTGTCAGTCCGCCCCTGGTATAGATATATATATATTTTATTTTTTTTTACCTCTTCCTGACCGTTACGGTGCAGTCGTTCAGTTCTGGGAGGGTATCATATGACTTCCTCCCAGAAAAGCACCTCCGGTGCCCTCTGTGCTTGCTATGTTCTTGGGACACATCTGATCACATGACACGGTAAAGGGCCAATAACAGTGGCTTTTTACCACATGATCAGCTGTGTCCAATCACAACAGATCACCATGTAAATACACTTGGTGGTTATCGGCGGTACTTTCACATGATTAAACAGAAATGTGATGCGCTACCTCCTCAAATTGTAAAAACATAAGCTATAAAAGAAACATGCAGTGTCAGTCCAAAAAAAAAGATTTGCAAAAATGTGAAATATCAGTCCAATCCAACATATGTTGTGCTATCATCCAGCAATTTTCAACGCTGTGCTTGAATTGTGGCCCTACACCCTGCTCACCTTGAATTTTGACCTAAAAATTATAATAGGCCAAACGCACTTTTAGAAGGACTAAGTAGCCTCCAGATTTCTGATCCGTATAGTATTCCTTCCATGTGCTATATCTTTATTGGACCTTTGGCTCCAAAACCGTGCAAAATAAACAAAAATATACCGTAGTGCAACAACGTGTTTTTGTTTTTTTAAATTACTAATTATATGCATTCGCATTAAAGAAAAAAAATGTGCTCCAAAGTGTAATAATCAAATAATTGCATTTCTGCACCGTGCCGACTAAATCGTAGTGTTTCCCATCACCGAATAGGTGCACCATACACTCACCTTCTTCCTTGACCCATCAAATAGGTTATACACGCTTGGGGATACTGAACGACTTCTGCTGGTCTTTAGTAGCTCAGGGTGAAGAAGTCACATGGTCAGTGACGTAACACGTTCATTATCAGTACAGCTCCAAAAGTGCCCGTCAGTGTTGCCAGTCTGTGCTCATCAGTGCAGCCTCATCAATACAGATCAGTGAAGGAGAAAAATTACCTGTTTGCACAATTGTATAATAGAAACTAAGAAAACGTTTTCTTTTTTAATTTTCGGCCTTTTTTTGTTTGTTTAGCAAAAGATAAAGCACCCAGTGTTGATTCAATACCACCAAAAGAAAGCTCTATTTCTGTGAAAAAAAAATGATAAAAATTTCATATGGGTACAGTGTTGCATTACCACGCAATTGTCATTCAAAGTGCGACAGTGCTGAAATCTGAAAATTGGCCTGGGCAGGAAGGGGGTAAATGCGCCCGGTAGGCGAGGGGTTAAAGGGGAGTACGTAGTTTCATTTTAAACCTTTTGATAAGCATTTAAATATTTGCCCCAAATACAGGATTTTATATATTATTATTATACAGGATTTATATTTATTATATTATTATTATACAGGATTTATATATTATTATTATACAGGATTTATATATTATTATTATATTTATATATTATTATTATTATACAGGATTTATATATTATTATTATACAGGATTTATATAGCACCAACAGTTTGCTCAGCACTTTACAATATAAAGGGAGACAATACAGCAACAATACAGATCAATACAAGAGGGATAGGAGGGCCCTGATCCTTGGAGCTTACAATCTAAGAGGGAGGGGCTGGTGGTACAAAAGGTAATAACTGTGGGGGATGGACTGGTAGGAGGAATAGAAGATTCCATTATTAGCTGAAGGCAGGATAGGCTTCCCTGAGAGAGAGAGGTTTTCAGAGATCGCCTAAAAGTGGGCAGAGTAGGCGATCATCTGATCGATTGTGGTAGAGAGTTCCAGAGGATGGGGGAGACTCTGGAGATGAGCATGGGAGGAGGAGACAAGGGAGGAGGAGGTCATGGGAGGAGTGGAGATGACGGTATATCTACCTTTACACAAGAGGGATAGGAGGGCCCTGATCCTGGGAGCTTACAAATGTTTCAAAATAGTGGTGTAAATGTAGTGAAGGAGAGCACCAGTGAACTGATTATTGTTTGTTTGGAGTTAGCAATGCAGTAATTGTGATTTCTATGTACTGATACAGGGGTGAACAGACACTTCCACATGATCTGCATCCGGGACAAGTTCAGCCAGAACATTGGCCGTCAGATTTCATCAAAAGTCATCTGGGATCATCTCCGTACCATGTATGATATGCAGGCTTTGGTAAGTGCTTCCAACCACACCACTCCATTACCCCAGTCTATGAAGGGAATGTGACAATAAAGTCTATGGGAACCCGTGGGTACTCTGTGCTGCAGCCAAACCACTCTAAGGCTACGTTCACACAGGTGACTATAAACAACAGATTCCTGTGGAGGAATCACAAGTCTTTGAGAAGAGCTGCAGCCAGGAAGCCTGTACAGATAAATGTCTAAAAGTAATTGCATATCTAGCGATTACCTGCGGGTAGGGACAGATGATCAACCATGCATACAATTCAAATGTCCAAGGCTGATAATCTGTCCTTTAATTGCAGGTAAATGCACCATGGGCAATTACACACCAACAAACCAGCTGCCTGTCAACCTATCATTCATTTGTATAGACTTTCTGGCCAGGCGCATGATTCCTGCCGCTGGAAGCCACTGAGTTTGTAGAGTAGCAAACTATTTGTTTCCTGCATTGCTAGCACACCCAGGTGTAGGTGACATGTTGCAACAGTTAAAGGTACTATTTTAATCATTTTATATAAAATGTAAATTGACCTAGCATAGCACATAAACAATCAATAAAAGTTCATCCTAAATCATTAGGGTGAGGATGAAGGTTAGGTGTTGGCGGATGTTAAGAATACATTTTAAAGCTCAGGATAAGTTCTCAGGCAAATATGTGTTAACTCAAGGGTCAGGTTAATGTTAGGGGTTTGGTGTAACGGAACCGGACCCCGACTGTACTAGGGTATTTTCCCTGTCCGAACACAGATCCACGGACACCACCGCTGACCACACCACTACAAGACACCAGTCTGTATAAACGTGGAACTCTTTATTTGAAACTCGAACTGGCTTTTTATACACTCGGGACAAATCCCCCCTCCCTGCATAATGACACAGGGTGGGGCAATCTATACTTGGCAACAAGAGACACACCAACAGACAGTCCTATCAGGAGGGCTGCTGGAAACACCCCCCCACCAAGCCAATACACAAACACATACATCCCATAATAGTTTGCTCACAATAGAACAATGGGACCACATGGCAGAAAACAATGAACAACCCATACACCAATATTAGAACATTTCACCCTGTACCCCTAACAAGCACAGGGTGACTTACACATAATAGGGATATGGGGAGCTGAGACAGGGGTCTCCCCACCCCTCCAAAGGGGGCTGTGTTCCATGGGCCCCCCACCCAAAGTGACTCCCGTCACATTTGGGCACACTTGGAATACTTGAGGTGCCCAAATATCATAGTTCCATATTTATAAAGCACCTGCCAGATGATTAGTTGCGTTTATGAAACACCTTCACCAGTGTGTTCATCCAGTTCAGTCACATTTGTAGCCATTTGCCCAACATCTGGATTTCCAGGGTTGCAGTAACTGCCATATGTATGGTGCAACCAATGTTTACATCCACCGCCACCACCAATCGCTATGGTGAATTCTTTTGTTGCTGTACTCCCTATTGAACATGCTGTCTTGATGGTTTACTTGCTCTCGAAGCTTCCTTCATTTCCATTGCTGAAACATGCCAACTTTTCATCATGATTAGCCAAGTAATATTTTTGCTTTGGTTTTTCAGCATGAATCTGAGATCCTTCCTTTTCCAAACTCTGAAAAGAACTTTATACTTCCTGAAGAGATCATCCAGGAGGTGAAGGAAGGTGAGATCTTACTTTTCCTGTATCGTTATACAGTTTAAAGTGTTCCTAAACCCCGGCAACAGCTGGAGGGCCGCCAGTTTGACACCCCTGCTCTAGACACTTCCCTGTTCAGTATATCACAGCTAAATAGCTCAGAAAAGGAAAGTCTTTCCTCATGGTCCGGGGAGAATTTCCCTGTTCTGTCGTTTTTTGAAACCACATTTGATATTTCAGGTAAAGTAACCACAGAGGATGACGGGAAAGAAGAAGGCAAGGAAGATGTGGATGTCCATTCCATCTCTGATGAAGGTGAGAAGCATTTTCTTCACCCTGAAGAGTTGTGTTTTCCAAACTTGAAGGCGTGTTTTGTCTTAGACGTAGTACAGGAAAGGTCAGAAGAAGGAAGCTGGTCGTGTGACTTTTGTCGGGTTATGTGACTAGGCCCTCCTACTATCATGTCTGCGTTTTAAAATTGAAGTGTGGATTGCAGGTGCAGTGTGGAGTGTTTATAGCAGTGATCGGGAGAGCGATATTCGCTCTGTTATACATTGGCTTCTGGTGAGGGACCAAGAGGTTCCTGCTATCAACTGCTGAAGTAAAGCAATTTTATCTCCTCAACTGCCTTGTACCAAAAGCCTGTTATCAGAATGTTAAAGCGGAGTTCCACTCGCACTGTCGAAAAATAAGTCAGCAGCTACAAAAACTGTAGCTGCTGACTTTTAAAAAACAGCCACTTACCTGTCCCTCGGTCTCGTGGTGTTTCCCCCGCAGCCCGTTTCACCGGCCGTCCTGTATTCCAGGAGGCCGGCATCTTTAGTGTTTGCACCCGGCTGTGATAGCTTGTGGCTTCACAGCCGGGTACCCACTGCGCATGCGTGAGTAGCGCTGCGCTTCATGAATGGTCCAGTAGTCTTCTGGGACCTGTCACGTGTCCCAAAAGACTACAGGGAGGGAGGACATCTTCTGTTTCTGATCACCTACGATCAGACCGGAAGTGGGAGCGGGTACCTGTCAAATTCGGGTACCCACTCCCCCGCCCCCCAAAAGTGCCAATCCTTAATGGGGAGTGGGGGAGCAGTCCTTTTAGGAAAACAAGATGGACAGGAGCGTGGGATCTGAATAAAATACTGTGTACATTTGTGAATGAAAAACAATAGCGCACTCCCATTTGGGAAGCATTTATCCAGCATGGATCAGTAGAGAACAAAGGCACACTAGGTGTTGGCAGAGAGACATCATGGTGCCGGCTAGTGAAAACCCGCTCACACTTCTGCCCGAAGCAGTGCTCTCTGCTAACGTGCTCTCTTAGCTGAACCACCTTTCAGGTGCGGGGGCGACAACATGTTTCGAAGACAATTTCCCTTGAAACGCGTTGCCACCCCCCTCATTTGATGCACTGCTCATCTAGGAGAGCCCACGGCAGTGAGAATGCTGCTCCTAGTTGGCAGTGTGAGCGGTTTCCCGCTAGCTGGCACCATGATGTCTCTCTCATTGCCAACACATACTAAGCCTACTGTGCCTTTGTTCTCTACTGATACATGCTGGATAAATGCTTCCTAAATGTGCGTGCGCTATTGTTTTGCATTAATAAAGTTGCACCGTATCCTAACCAGATCCTGCATTCCTGTCCATCCATCTTCTTCTTTTTTTTTTTTTTTTTTTTTTTTTTTTTTTTTCCATGTCTTGAGGTGATGGGCTTGGACCTACTGGAGGAGTTTGCAGGAACCATCACACAGCCCATTGCAGATTACCACCACTGATTGACACCTGTTTTATTCCACATCTGGGCTGATAGCTCACTATTGCAACACCCATGTCCTTGTGTTTGATTTATTTGTCAGAATATTATGTACAGCCTACATATCTCTGTCACTATAGTTGCTTCAAATCTTTGCTTTTTCGCAGCTTTTACTAACTCTTCTAACACTTCAGCAAAGAGCGTGGACAAAGCTAGCACCAAGGAGAAGGAAAGAACTTTGTCCGAATCGGGCTCCAAAGAGCCTGGTGACAAGAGGAAGAGGAACCGTCAGACGGAGAAAGTCGTCAATGCCAGCAGTAATCCTTCTAGTCCCAATGCCAACAAGAGGAGGCGAACGTAACGTAGGCGGCAGACTGTCACAGAGTAGTAGGCATTTTATACTACAGCAATACAACTGCACACCCGTTAATCCTGTTATTTAATGTTTTTAATCTTTTTTAAAGTATTTGTATTTAAAGTAAAAAAAAAAAAAAAAAACTTTAAAAATCTCATGTTGCTTCTGTTTTACTTTTGGTAAGAAAACAATCTAGATAAGTTTCCTGTATAAGTGCCCATTCACACCAGAACGGGGTGTAGGAAACTTGCGTTTCGTATGTGTCTCCTGCACCGTGTTCAAAACTCACTGCAGTTGAAGTCTGCAGCCTGTTTTAATAATGACACCCCAAACGCAGGGCACAACTGCTGTGTGTTTGCCTGCACCAGATCGCATTGTACAGAAGTACCATGCCATCCAGTTGCAGTGAGTTTCAATAGTAGTGTATGCTGTACTCTTGGGTGTGGTGCAGTTTCAGCCCATTCAAAACAAGTGAGCTGATATCGCACTGCATGGAACTGCATGTAAATCGCACAGGGACGCACAGCAAGTTCCTAAGCATTTCCTGGTGTGAACCTGCCCTAAAGGTGCAAGTGGCATTTTTTGGACCTGTAAACATTCACAACCGGTCTGATTTACTGGAGAGACCAGTTTACTTTTGTGAAAGGAGAAAGCTGGATGTGTTGCTTTTGTGACACTTCACACACTGATCTTTGTTTCACAAATATAGAAAAGCCATCTTTTATTTGCACACGCTATAATAGTGGTGGTCAGTTTGAAAATTTATAGAGGCTTTCAAGTGTGGCCCCTGACACTTCCAAAGGGCTGCACCAAACCAACGCATTTTGCAGCTCAATGCCCAAAAACGTTGGCCTTTCTTTTGCTGTGTATCACAATTCACACTGAAGAAGTTGGAGTACAGTATCCCCCAGAGTTGGTGTCAGTGAGTGCAATAACAACCTCCAGCATTAGTGTCCGTGAGTGCAATAACAACCTCCAGCATTAGTGTCAGTGAGTGCATTAGTGTCAGTGAGTACAATAACAACCTCCAGCATTCAGTGTCAGCGAACATACTGATAACCCCCAGCATTGACATCATAGAGGCAATGATAACCCCCCAGCATTGGCATCAGTGGAGGCAATGATAACCCCCCCCCAGCATTGGCATCAGTGGAGGCAATGATAACCCCCCCCAGCATTGGCATCAGTGGAGGCAATGATAACCCCCCCAGCATTGGCATCAGTGGAGGCAATGATAACCCCCCCAGCATTGGCATCAGTGGAGGCAATGATAACCCTCCCAGCATTGGCATCAGTGGAGGCAATGATAATCCCCTCAGCATTGGCATCAGTGGAGGCAATGATAACCCCCCCCCCCCCCCCAGCATTGGCATCAGTGGAGGCAATGATAATCCCCCCAGCATTGGCATCAGGGGAGGCAATGACAACCCCCCCCCCAGCATTGGCATTAGGGGAGGCAATGACAAACCCCCCCCAGCATTGGCATTAGGGGAGGCAATGACAACCCCCCCAGCATTGGCATCAGGGGAGGCAATGACAACCCCCCTCCAGCATTGGCATCAGTGGAGGCAATGATAATCCCCCCAGCATTGGCATCAGTGGAGGCAATGATAACCCCCCCAGCATTGGAATCAGTGGAGGCAATGATAACTCCCCCAGCATTGGAATCTGTGGAGACAATGATAACCCCCCAGCATTAGAATCAGTGAAGGCAATGATAACCCCCCCAGCACTGGCATCAGTGGAGGCAATAATAACCCCCCTCAGCATTGGCATCAGTGGAGGCAACGATAACCCCCCATGCACGCTCCTTCGTCAGGTCGATTGCCATCTTGGAAACCCAGTCCATGCTGTGACGCCATCAGAGTGAGCCTCCCTGCTACTTTCCGAGCCCTGGACACCACCTTAGCGGCGGGGATACACCCAGAGTGCGGCTTAGGACATTCTGCTCCTCTGGACCTCCTTTCCTAATGACATGCCTATTTACTACTTACTCTTGTGAGTGCATTTATTAAATCAGCCGGTTTTTAAAACCTTCTACATTAGAGTGGCACCGCTGTCTCTCTTCTCTTCCTGCATATAGGAGTATCTACAAGCTCTTACAGCCAGATGCCTCCTCCTACAAGCCCACATACCCACAAGCCTTCCATTAAAGATGCCTTAGTAATTACCACAGCTGTTTCATCTGAGGGAAATCCTGAAAACATGACCTGTTGGGGGTCCATGAGGACTGGAGTTGAGAAACACTGCACTAACCTAACCACCCATGGTCCATCGACCTCCATTCCTCATGACATCCCTATTTACTACTTACTCTTGTGAGTGCATTTCATTATTAAATCTGTCGGTTTTTAAAACCTTCTACACTTAGAGTGGTGCTGCTGTCTCTCTTCTCTACAAGGTTTTAAGATCATCTCTGGTGATCCTACCATGAAGGTCCTTGTTCAGGTACTTCCTGTCCTAGTATGACCATTGTTTCAGATGTGTTCTCCTGTGCTGTCGCTCTGTAACATGCATCTCTGGTGGAGACATAAAGTGGTTGTACGGGCATAGTGTGCCGTTGTCACCGTAGGAAGCCAGTCCAGAGCAATGGTGTGCAGCTGAAGCAAGTACTGGAACTATCTGAAAGAGGCTGGAAGGAGATCAGCTGTACTGAGATGCAATAAAGGATGAAAATTAGTAATTTATGCAAAGGAAAATAAATGCAATACGCAAAGCTTAAGCAAGTTAAATGTCATCACATTATTGTTAGATCTACTATCAGAAACTGTTAGAGAATACCCAATGCATAACTTGCAGCAGGATCCTGAAATTCCAGATCTTAAAAGTTACCATTTTTCTGTTTTCAAACAAAATGTAACAAGCTCACGGGTTCGCCCTGGCAGGGGCTAAGCTAAGCAGGGCTGTTTAGTTATTAGTTCCCCAATGTACAGAAGTCAGGATTGGTTTTCACATAGCCTTTATTG